AATAATTAAAATCAAGATGAATTAAATAACAATTACAACAATAATCTAAGTTATTTGTCTAATTGTAAGTGTAACAAATAAGTAATTTTTCAAGAATACAATTAATCAACTAACGATAAGTAATCTATTTTGATAAAGTCTTACATCGAAAGGCGAAACGTCGGTAGAGATTACATAATCAATAAAGAATACTTCACTCCTATCTAGTTTAGAAGAACGTTAATCATCTTTTTCTTTAGATTCTTTAGTGTGGTAGTCTTCATTTCGACCGGAAAATGTTTTCGAAGAACACGCGGAAGTTGAAGTTTCTTGGGAGGTTTTTGTAAAGCCTCTAGAAACTATTTTGATAAAATCTTACATCGAAAGGCGAAACGTCGGTAGAGATTACATAATCAATAAAGAATACTTCACTCCTATCTAGTTTAGAAGAACGTTAATCATCTCTTTCTTTAGATTCTTTAGTGTCGTAATCCTGATTTCACTGGAAAAGATTTCGAAAAACTCTAGGAAGTTGCAGTTTTTTGGGAGGTTTTTGAAAAGCCTTTACNTTCCACAGAAATATTACCGAATGAAGTTTTTGAACTTGTTAATGATTATATGGTATCGATGGGTCTCTACAATATAACGCATCACTTTGGCTTATCACTAAATGAAAATCAGACCAATTACGACTGCGAAGTAATTCCCAACAGGCTTCTACATTCAACTTGTAATTATTTGCAGTAAGTCCTAATGAATAAGCAAAATTAATTATTTATTCGCGGTAGATCGGAATCAAACTACTGCGTCACCGCACCGGCTACACAACATAGCCTTCGGTTTATATTCGCGAAAAATCGCTAAATTAATAAGTAATTTTAATCAGCTGTTGTTTTTTGTCTGTGAAATGTTACCATGAACGCATGATTCTTACCTCCCATAAAGAAAAGAAAATGTGCTTTAACAGGCAATAATTGTCTATTAATTTTCATTGTAATAAACTGCTTGAAAAACTGGATACTTGGTTGATTTAGAAATTTAATTTTTATCGCGACATGTATACGTACAACTGCTGTATTTTCACTACACTATACAACTCTGTAGTACTAATATGTAAATGATAAAAGTGTCCTTAACGTAAAGATAACACAATAAACAGATGATACTTGTTTATTGAAGAAAATTCGTATTTTAATGCGAATACGAAAATAAAAAATAAATTTTACGAAAAGTCTTTGGTTTTTAAGAATACTATTTAAATTACTGCATGGTATCAAATACTTGCAACCAGCTGCAATTTTTATTTGTTTAAAACAAATAATGATTAACGTAAATAAAGATAAAGCGACGAAAATAGAGGTCCCCTATACAGTGTTGGGTACAATAAATAAAGTGTGGCAATGATTATGCACAAAATGTTCACTTTTTAAGATACTGATGAAATTCATCAATAACGAACGCACGGCTATAACGAGAAAAGTCTTAGTCACTTCGTGTTCGTTATAGCCATGTTCGACGTCGAATTTTCCCATTTCTTTGTCTACATATTTTGCAAAACTTTGTGTCAAATTACAAAGTGTACTACTCTTGTTGATTCATGATCCTTTTTGAACGAAGAAAATTGTACAAACTCAATAATTTGATAATCGTAATCTAATAAAGATTAGCAAATTTGTAATTATAACTTATTTTGTTGATTAAACTTTCTTAAAACTACTGACTCAAATGGCTAATCTTGCTGACTATCATTGAAAATTTAGTGGAGGCGCCGGGAAAACTTTAAACAAATGCTTTAATACAAAGACTCATACAAGTTTGGTAGCCAATTTTATCCAAAATTTTACCTAATATTTAAAATAGATATTATCAGACCGTACAAATTGTACTAATGAAACTGACCAGCGATCGCAAAGAATAATATTTCGGTTCCCAACGTTTCTGCGGCAACCACGAAACCTTCCACAACTTTCACATTAGCTGTTTGCGCCTCCAGGGCCAAATCTTCCACGTACCACAGTAAGAAGTATATCAAAACCCCGTCCAAGACTCCAGCAATCGTCACGAAAACAAGAAACGCAGTTGTACTTGTCGAGGACAGTAATTCTCGCAAATCTTTAACGATATTAGTTGGAGGGTCGATATTGGGTAACTACAATAAAATGGGCCCACGTTAATCCTGATTAGTTCACCACTGAATCGAATCGTCTACACCTTCAATTTGGTACACGCAATAACGTCGAGAATTATAAATATCGTCATGACTATGAGAGCTGGGGTGTACGATTTTGCCGGGCCCGGTGACCACCAGTCGACCGCAAACCCCGAGACCATTGCCGCAAAACCCCACCCGATGGTACCCCAAACCCGTTGCTGTCCGTAATCGTGGCTGTCACCTACCATATCGAAACAAACAGCGTCGCTA